TGAAACAGATCCTCAGTGTTATTCACGTCCCCTGCCAGTGGTCATAATGTTGTGGCTGATCAGTGTACGTCGTGTGTGTGTGCGTAATGAAAATCATTTTTACCTAATGTTGTATAAGAAAACATATTTCATTCCCTCATAGCCTGGTCATGTTTTACCACACAACAATGTTTTCTTGATTAATGAAACATGGATAAGAGGGAATACAAATGCCAGCCAATTATGAACCTGGACAAAGGTATATTGACAAGTCATTGTTAAACAAGCACAGGGAGGTAAAATTAAATTATATTAAAAAGGATGTAATAGGCACATTGTAAAAAAGTAGTTTAAATAGTTGAAACTACTTTTTCTAAGTAACTTTGGTTTACCACACTAGATTTCTCCCTAGGGTGGCTTGGCTGTAGTTCAACTTCTTCTAGTATGAGGTAATCGGTGCCTTGCAAAGCTGTTTTTGAAATACTGTAGGTTCCCCAACACTGGCAGCAGCTCATACTGTATGTGTCCTCATTTTCATGCAGGAGGTCAGAAATTCCACAGCGTACCTTTGCTAATCAATAAAAGAAATGACTTTAAATTAGTAGAAAAATTAATCTTCTTAATTTATTCTGGACAATAGAAAATGCAACTAAAAAAGGATGAAAAAAAAAACAGCTTATCATCTGTATACTGGCTTTGCTTCATAACAAATGCAACATTATACCCACATTTCTATCCAATCCATGCTGTCATAGGTCAGAAAATATCTAACCACACTATTTACAGGATTAACAAAATGGGTGTGCTAAATGATATGACTGGAAACACATAATGCTGACATTGTCAGTCAGAAAGCTCAAAGAGCTTCAAATCCAAAACGGTGTCCTCACAGCCCACTGCTAATCTTAACAAACCAAAACAAACATAACCTGCATATGACATTTCATGTCAGGAACAAATAAGTACAGTATAAGTATGTAAAAAAAACAAACAAAAAGGTGACAGACGTCTTATAAGCCAGTGGGGGAAAAGGTTTCTATTAACAGTACAGCTCCACGTACTGTACATCCATGTGAGCAGACCAGTAATGAGGAGACAAGACACTGGTGTCCGGGGAGCTTCTTCACAGAGTAGTTTCCCCTCTTTCCAACATGGTCAGCACTGAGGGACCTGCATTCTCACTGGAGAACTTTCTGGGTGCCTGGGTTTATTGAGCCAGACCTCTCTGGAGGTTATCACATTGATGACAATCGGTCAGTAGCAAAACAGAGAGAAGTCATTAAACCAATCAGAGAGACCTCGACTCTGCTAATGTAGTTAAACTGCATGGGGCTGCTACTAGGGAGAAAGCCCTCGCTCTCCAGTGGAGCAAATGTATTACACCTTAAATCTCTTTCTAACCAAATAGAAGAGGAATATGTTTGGCAAAGCTTTGCTGTTTCGCTGTAAAACTCAGTCAGTGCTCACAACTCTGAACAGAGCTGTTTGACTCTTGACACCCGTGTGTCAGGGGAAGACACTGTGCCAGTCTCCAGATGATTCAGGAACCACTTCCAGGTCAAGTTCAGGTGTTACCTCCACTTGAGTTCCTGTTTCTTCTTGGCCCAGAGCCACTTCTTGGATCTGGCCTGGACAGATACACAGAAAAACCAACAAAAAGAGTGAGAAGTGGTTTGCATGACTCTCCTGCAGTTAGATACTCTCTGAGAAAAGTAAAGATCAGCTTCAGCATTTCTGATTCTACATCCAGTTTGCCAGTGGCTTTCATGCAAATAAGAGCATCTATCAAAAAGCAATCTTTCCCTCCTCACTCCACCAGCAATTGATTTAATATCTCATATTGTCAGTTTGAGCTTTCTTCTGCAAAGACCCGTCTCATACACAAACTATTTAATAAGGTGTGGCAGGTGTGGAATATACTTACTGTGAGCTGTACATATGATGCAAGCTATGTGTCACAGTGCATTCAGCTTAAAATGACAAGCTCAAAGCAATAATAAGTCACTTTGGCAAAAGCTGAGAGGTTCAGAGCTTTTTCTACTGCCGCAGGGCACACGAGGAAGTCAGTGGAATTCATTTACAGTGGAAGTCATTTGTTTATCTCTGTTTTTAGTTGTTGTATCTAACACACATTCAGTAAGTTGCAAACACATGACTATCTTGAATCCTGATGCATTTCTCACAAGCATCCATCAAAATGTCAAAAGACTAAACAGATATCAAGGATTAAACTGAACTTTAACTTTGTGATCACGTCCAGTCACGGATGGAACAGTAGGAATTTTAACGATTTTAGGATTTTAATGACTACAGAAAATCCTGAGAAAGTTAATTCACCGTTCTCTAACCTAATTACATTTTTCATAGTAAGACCACAGAAGCCAGTCCTCAACGTGTTGCAGACCAAACTTTTTAAATTATCTACACCCACCCAGCATGGGGACATGACTGGAAGCTTTTGCAGAGCTGCTATTCAAGTGGAATAAGTAGAAGAGATCTGTCAGCACTGTTCTCCTCCTCAGGTCATACTGAATAGGTACCTGCCAAGCTCTGAGGTTGGATGCCGGAATAAAATGAATAACAATGTGGGAGTATGCTCGTCATACTCTTGGCCAAGGTTAACAAAAGAGGAGCCACAGCCTAAGTTTTAACGCCTGTCAGGAAAAAGCCCTGACTTTCCATTCAACACACATGCCTAGTGATAACAAAGAGGAAACTGAGCTTACAGCTTAAAGTGAACAAAGTTCATGGATCTGTCATCCGAGTTCTGCTCTACAGTATCGCTGAGCCTGCAGGGCACGTGTGCACATACACACGAGGATAAGTGTAGCAGTGACCATGTGCTGGCATTATAAAGATGATTTTCAACAGATAATGAGAAGGCGCATTAAGAGAGGCGCGACAGACACAAAAGGTGAGAATGGGAGAAAGTTAATGAACCACAGGAGAAGGCCAACATTGCCTCTCAGCGGTCTGAGGTACTCAGAGACACCTTTTATTGTGTCTTTTATGGGGTACATGCAGACTGTGCATGACAGCCACAATAAACAGTCAAAAACACATTAACATCATAAGGTGGAAAAGGGGGTTCAGTATATAATACTTACAGTGGGGTAAATAAGTATTTGATACACCCCTGATCTTTCAAGTTTTCCCACTTACAGAGAATGGACAGTTCTGTAATTTTCATCGTAGGTACACCTCAACTGTGAGAGACAGAATCTACACAAAAATTCCAAAGTGAAGCCATTTCTCTCTCGCAGTGACTTAGAGAAAGCTATTCATGCGTTTGTGACTTCCCGGCTTGACTATTGCAATGCCCTGTACTCAGGGCTATCCCAGTCATCACTCTCCAGGCTCCAGCTTGTTCAGAACGCGGCTGCCCGTCTGCTGACAAACACTCGTCGGCATGCCCATATCACTCCGGTTCTGCTATCCCTTCACTGGCTGCCTGTTAAATGGAGAGTAGATTTTAAGGTCTTGCTTTATGTTTTTAAGGCCATGCACGGCCTTGCCCCTCCGTACTTATCCGACCTCCTGGCTAGATACGTCCCTCGCAGAACCCTGCGATCATCGGGGCACCCTGCTCTTGTTGTTCCCCCTGCGCACTACAAAAAATGGGGAGGTCGCGCCTTTGCCGTGCATGGCCCTAGGCTGTGGAACTCCCTGCCCTTAGAGATACGCTCGATAGCCGAGCTGGCAGCCTTTAAGTCAGCGTTAAAAACGCATCTTTTTAAGCAAGCTTTTAATGTTTAGCTAGCTCACTATTTTCGTCACCTTTAATAATTTATTCTTTTAACTAGTCTTAATATGTCATTGTGTGTATTAGTCCTTGGGCCTCCACGGGTAAGCCCCCGATGAGAGAGCCGGCTGGATAGGAGCTGCCCTCTATCAGTCCTGGGATATCCATTTGGCTTCTGTCTGTTTATGAGTGCTCTTAACTGATATTGTATTCTATGTTTTTATTGTTGTAGCACTTTGTGCTCTCGAGTTGGAAAGTGCGGTACAAATAAAGTTTATTATTATTATTATTATTACTTTTATCTGTTTCCATCATTTTCTTGGAGTGTCTATCAAATTGAACAGTTACAGTATTGTACTCTGTGTCCCCTCAGTTTTTATAGTTTACTGTTTGACAAGCAAAAGACAACTTCTGAATCTCTAATTCAACAAAAGACAGACATCTAAAACATTTCACTGTAACCAGAACCTAAATGACTTTTTATTTATTATTATTTATCATTGTACATATGAAACATCTTTTTACAGCTTATTGAACCACACACAGTTCTTGTTTCTCAGTTTTAATTCACACATGCTATTAATTAGTGAAAAGGGAGATAAGGAGACATGATTTTAATTTAAATACTGATTGATATTCACAGCTAGTTGATGGTTGTGTTTTTCATGATTAATTAGCGCTTGAGTGTGCCAGAATGCCCACATCAATATTTCACTCAGTATTGCTTCCCATCCTGCTACAAAAAAAAACAACTACTTGAAGTCAGAGCTTGGCCACTCCTATGTTTTATTTGAATCTTTCCGTCCTTTTAAAGTTTGCCTCCACTGATCCCGTCCTCAGGTATATCATGGAAACATGTCACTATCGTGTTTCTACACAGTGGCTTCTAACAAACTCCAGGGTTTTTCTGAGATTTAAGTTCTGCACAGATTGAGCATCGCTTGCTTGGAGCTACCGGAAGCACGTCTCATTGTGTTACAATAGCACTGAGCTCATCTCCATCTAGTTCCCCATACTACTGCAGCAGTAGTTTGTGTGTCTGAAATGTATGTGCATGTCTGAGTATGAGGTTGAGTGCATATTTGTTGCATTTCCACCCCTGTCACTCATTCTCCCATGCTAGAATAAAAGCACAAAAGCCTCTGTCCTAGGTCAAGGCTATCGTAATATCAGATCCCCTGGTTTTCGCTGTTTGTGGAGAAAAGCAGGCCATGCTTAAGCTTCCACAGCAAACAGAATAATTAATTTTCTATCAGAGCAATCAAAGCGGATCACACCATCAAGGGTTAAGAGAGGAGAGGTCTGGAGGGAGCATGTATTAATGTCCTTTATGACTTTGCAAATTATGCATTATAAGCAAGAGAAGAGTGGAAGCTCCAACATAATTGCATTGATTTCTCACTGATGGCTACAAATAATGACATTTTCTCTTGATCCAGGGGAAGAACAGGATGGATTGTGAGGCCCAGGGGCACATATACAAGCTCTTAAATGCGCTTAGACTGTGTCTCATGATGCCTTTTAAAAACATCATATCACACAGATGTACACACATGTGAAGACCAAAACATTTGCCTACATACACATTCAAGCCATCATCTTCTCCCATCTACCCGAGATACAGACTGAATACACACTGGTATGCATACAAAACACAGATATATAAATCTACATGGACACACACAGACCCACACTTGAATTCTGAACACAGCATCAGTTCCAGGAAGTAAAGCTGACAGACTTACAGAACAGACTTATCTAAATGAGTCAAAATCTGGCTGTTTAGACCAGTCCACAACTCCAGTTGTCAGTTCATGTGCTCCTGCCTCTTTCACAGATGAGGAGGAGGGCCATTTTTGTGATATTTCAGTGCCAGCAATGTCTCATGGTAGTGATTCCAGCTGGGATGGCACAGTGCATGATTTCTCATCACAACATACGCAGAGAGGGCGGTTTGAGCAGGGGTACTTTGCATTGTTAGAAATTAATAAATTAATCAAATAATTATTAGACATTAATGTCTTAGACTTTAATGTGTTAGTAATGTAATTTAGTAAGATTCAAAGGCTAAAAATCCCAGCTACCTGACATTGAGAAG